GTTCTCCTCCGGCCTTCTGCGAGCCTACTGTCGTGCACGAGGCATCCGCCAGACCTTCACGCTTCCGGACTCTCCACAGCAGAATGGAATTGCTGAGCGCCGCATCGGCATTGTCATGGACGTCGCCCGTACGTCCATGGTGCATGCGGCTGCCCCCCATTTTCTGTGGCCGTTTGCGGTTCGGTACGCCGCACATCAGATCAACCTTCAGCCCAGGGTCTCCAGACCGGAGACCTCCCCAGCTTTGCTGTGGACGGGGAAGGTTGGCGATGCGTCGGCGTTCCGTGTCTGGGGATCTCGGGCGTTTGTCTGCGATTTGTCTGCGGACAAGCTGTCCCCTCGTGGTGCTCCTTGCGTCTTCCTGGGTTCCCCCCCTGACGCACCTGGGTGGCAGTTTTACCACCCCACCTCTCGTCGTGTTCTGTCCTCCCAGGACGTCACGTTCGACGAGTCGGTTCCCTTCTACCGGCTCTTCCCCTACCGCACTCCGTCCCTCCCCCCCCCGCCCCTCTTCCTGGTCCCAGGTCCCCCCCCGGTAGACCCCCTCCCCCCTCAGGGTCCTGCCCCTTCAGGTGTGTCTCAGGTAGACGCGGTCGAGCCTGTCGAGGTCACTGGTGACTCTGGTGCTGCTGCGGGTGCGGAGCCTCGGGGTGCTGAGACTGGGGGCGCTGAGCCTGGGGGTGCTGAGCCTGGGGGTGCTGAGCCTGGGGGTGCTGAGCCTGGGGGTGCTGTGCCTGGGGGTGCTGAGCCTGGGGGTTCTGCGTCTGGGAGTGCTGCGCCTGCTGCTTCTGTTCCTAGTGGTTCTCCAGACCGTTCTTCGCGCCGCGAGCCGCTCTCTCCTCTGGAGCTGCGTGAGTGGTTTGCCCGGCGCTGGAGGCGAGCTGCTGGAGCTGGGGGTACTGCGGGTGCTGGAGGTTCCGTTGCTGCCGAAGGAGCTGGTACCACGGGTCCCGGAGGTGCTCGTACTGAGGGTACTGGAGCTGCCAGGCCCGGGGGTGCCTCTGGAGCTTGAGCTGCTGCGGGTGCTGGCGCTGAGGCTACGACTGTCGGTCCTACTGCGGGTACTTCTGCAGGTGCTGGTGGTGCTGGAGTTGGAGCTGCTACTGGTGCTGGTGCTGCCTCTGGAGGTGTTGGTACTGTCCCTGCTGTCTCTGGCGGTGCTGCGCGGCCTCGGCCGTACTTCGTTCCGCTCCTTCACCAGGTTCTTGGTCTCCCGCCTTCCACTGGTCCTTCTCCTCCCGTAGAGTGTCCGCAGCCTGTCCCGTCACGGTCACAGTTACTGCCCGCCTCTCCCCTGCCTTCTCCTTCTCCCTACGCTGGTCCTACTGGAGGTCTTGCTGAGCGTCGTGAGCTTGCGTCCGGCCCTGCGTTGCCAGTCCGAGCTGCTCGCCCTAGTGGTCGCGGTTCGCGCCAGCGTCCTCCTCCTGTCCCTGGCACGCACCAGATGTCTCTGCGTCCGTCCACTGCTCCTCTGCGTGCCCCTTTGCCTTCTCCTCCTGAGTCTTCTCTTCCTACACTTGCCGACCCGGAGTCGGACTCTCACCGTGCTGCCAGTCCTACTGTCACGCGTCTTCTTGCTACTCTTGTCACTGACCCTTCCTTTGAGTCCGCTGCTGCGTCTGCCCTAGTTGCTGAGCTGGTCGGCTTTGCTACTGCGTGTCGTCTGGACGACGCTGCCAGTCTTGTTGCTGAGTCTGCTGAGTCTGCTGAGTCTGCGTCTGCTGCGTCTGCGTCTGCCTGTCCTCCATCCGTCGGGGGTGACTGTGCTCTTGGCACGGACGTCCTTGAGGACAGGCAGGAGGAGTTCCAGTGCTTTGCCGCCGCTTTGCCCCATCTCGTGTCCATGCTTGTTGCCCCTGAGGGAGACCCGGATGCTCTAGACATCCCGACCCCACGCTCTTACGCAGAGGCGATGGCCAGTCCCTACTCCTCTCAGTGGCAGTCAGCCATGGACGCAGAGATGGCTTCCTGGAAGTCCACAGGCACCTACGTTGACGTTGTTCCCCCTCCTGGGGCGAACATTGTCAGTGGCATGTGGATCTTCAGGGTGAAGCGGCCGCCGGGTTCTCCGCCTGTCTTCAAGGCGCGCTACGTGGCTCGTGGCTTCAGTCAGCGACAGGGAGTTGACTTCTTTCAGACCTTCTCCCCGACCCCGAAGATGACCACTCTTCGGGTTCTACTGCACGTCGGTGCTCAGCGTGACTACGAGCTACACTCTCTTGACTTCAGCACTGCTTTCCTGCAGGGCCGCCTGCACGAGGAGATCTGGCTGCGCCGCCCTCCTGGCTTCACTGGGTCGTTCCCTCCTGGTACCCAGTGGAGCCTCCGGCGGCCAGTCTTCGGTCTCCGCCAGGCGCCGCGTGAGTGGCACGACACATTGAGGACTACACTTGCGGCTCTTGGGTTTGCTCCTTCTACTGCTGACCCGTCGCTGTTTCTGCGCACCGACACCTCGCTGCCGCCGTTCTACATCCTCGTGTACGTCGACGACTTGGTCTTTGCCACTGCGGACACTGCCGCACTCGCCCACGTGAAGTCCGAGCTGCAGAAGAGACACACGTGCACAGACCTGGGTGAACTGACAAGCTATCTTGGCTTGCGGATCACCCGGGACAGAGCACGCCGCACCATTACCCTGACTCAGTCACACATGGTGCAGCAGGTCCTTCAGCGCTTCGGCTTCACGTACTCCTCACCTCAGTCCACTCCTCTGCCTATGGGACACTCGCTCTCAGCTCTGCCTTCGGATGAGTCCGTAGAGTCGAGTGGTCCGTATCCAGAGCTTGTGGGCTGCCTCATGTACCTGATGACTTGCACTCGACCTGACCGCGCATACCCTCTCAGCATCTTAGCACGCTATGTTGCTCCCGGCCGTCACCGGAAGGAGCACATGGATGCAGCTAAGAGGGTGTTGCGCTACTTGTGCAGTACGTCGGGCATGGGGCTAGTGCTTGGAGGGCGTGAGCGGCCTGTGCTCACTGGGCACTCAGACGCTTCTTGGGCTGACGACCAGGCTACTCAGAGGTCGTCTCAGGGTTACACCTTCAGTCTTGGCTCTGGCTCTGTCTCTTGGCGCTCTACTCGCTCTTCTTCGGTTCTCAGCTCCAGCTGTGAGGCTGAGATCTACGCCACGGCCATGGCTGCCCAGGAGCTTCGCTGGCTCACCTACCTGCTGACTGACCTTGGAGAGCGGCCTCGTTCTCCTCCAGTGCTGTACGTCGACAACAAGGCAACCATTGCCTTGTGTGAGGAGCACAGACTGGAGCACAGGACGAAGCACATTGCTCTGCGCTACTTCCTTGCTCGAGAGCTGCAGCAGCGTGGTCAGCTTCGCCTGCGTTTCGTGGCCACTGAGGCCAACACTGCTGATGTGTTCACCAAGGCACTTCCGCCTCGTGACCATCAGCGCTTTTGCACTTTGCTAGGCCTTGTGCCCACTGGGCCTCACTTGCTTACCTCTTGACCTTGCTTGTACTGCTGCATATATATATCCTTGCTCTTGCTTGTTTAGCACTATTATATATATATGCTCTGCTGCATGTGAACTGGCCTTGTGGCCTTGACCTTGTGCTCGGAATTTGTGTGGTATCCTTGAGATCCACCCTGAGCTTGCTTTGCTTTGCTTTGCTTTGCTTGACTGGTCTTGTGACCCCTTGCTCTCCCCCACTTTGCCTATGGGGGTGTGTCAGATGATTATATTACTGATGCATATATTTAGGCTGTAGTGGGGTAGCCCATAGGTGGTACAACCCAATTAGGGTTGGTACTTGTATGTGTTTCATTTCATAGTGCACCCCATTCCTCGCCTCTATCTCAACATCACTCCAGTAACCTTCCGCTTGCGTTTACCAGCTACCTGGAGAATTCACAATGGCTTTCATGTTCAACTTCTCAAGCCCTATCGGGACCCAAACACGGTCTTCAAAGGTCGCCAGCCGCCGCCGCCACTGCCAGTGATCGTTAATGGGGAACCCGAGTACGAAGTCGAAGCCGTTCTGGCGCACCGACGACGACGTAGCGGCACCTTGGAGCTCTTGATTCGTTGGAAAGGCTATGATCCTTCCGAGGATACCTGGGTACCTGAACACGACATGGATAACGCCCGCCGTCCTCTACAGGACTACCTTGTCAAGCAGGGTGTTACTTCTACCACCTAGCTTTGAGGGGGGGAAGTGTGAGAGGACGTCCCCGTTATAATATTTTCTCACTATTATATTTTTCCGTTATCCCATTCTCCCTTTTCTCCTCTTTATTTTGGTCTTTATCTCATCTCAATCGGCCTACTATTCTATTATCTAGAGCCTTCTATTTATTTCTCTTATTTCCTACTTTTCCCACTGACATACCTATTATACGGCACCGACAGCGCCGACAGTGGTGTATACGGTGTAATCTGGGCGTAATCCCAAGTGCCAATAGACTTGCGTGCTTATGCGCACTTGTGATTGTAGTATCGGGAAGGGTGTGTTCCCGAAGGTTCGTTTTATCTCGTTTATCCTTGTACTTTCCGAGTATAAATAGGCCTTGTATTCAGTTTTAGTGACAAGTTTCGATTGAGAATTCGATCCTGTGACACTTGGTAAGCAGAGCCGTTCTCACTCGACAACTCTCAGCTAAGCAGCGGTCGCGGAAAAAATCGCCTCGACAAACCGCCGGGGGCTGTGACAATAAGCAAACAGGAATGAAATGACTAAGTCAGGGTTGGGTACAAATACAACCCTAGAAAGCTGTACCCCATATGTGCTACCCCACTATAGCCTACAAACATGCATCAGCTATAGTAATCTGACACACCCCCATAGGCAAAGTGGGGGAGAACAAGGGGTCACAAGACCAGTCAATCAAAGCAAAGCAAAGCAAGCTCAGGGTGGATCACAAAGTCACCACACAGTCCGAGCACAAGAGCAGGGCCAGAGGCCAGTTCACAAGCAAGAGTACAGACATATATAGAAGACTAAACAAGCAAGAGCAGGTATATATATGTCACAGTACAAGTAAAGTCAAGAGGAGAGCAAGTGAGGCAAGACAGGCACAAGACCCAGCTGGGTGCAGAAGCGCTGATGGTCACAAGGCGCGAGTGCCTTGGTGAACACATCAGCAGTGTTGGCCTCAGAGGCCACGTACGCAAGTCGCAACTGACCACGCTGCTGCAGCTCACGAGCAAGGAAGTAGTGGAGAGCAATGTGCTTCGTTCTGTGCTCCAAGCGCTGCTCTCGACACAAGGCCAGCATGGCCTTGTTGTCTACGTACAGCACTGGAGGAGAACGAGGCGGCTCTCCAAGGTCAGTCAGCAGGTAGGTGAGCCAGCGAAGCTCCTGTGCAGCCATGGCCCCGGCGTAGATCTCAGCCTCACAACTGGAGCTGAGAACCGAAGACGAACGAGTAGACCGCCACGAGACAGAGCCGGAACCAAGACTGAAGGTGTAACCCTGTGACGACCGCTGCGTAGCCTGGTCGTCAGCCCAAGAAGCGTCCGCGTGGCCTGTAAGGACCACTGGACTCCGCCCTCCAAGCACTAGCCCCATGCCCGACGTACTGCACAGGTAGCGCAATACCCTCTTCGCTGCAGCCATGTGCTCTGGTCGGTGTCTCCCAGGAGCAACATAGCGTGCAAGAATGCTCAGAGGGTATGCAAGGTCAGGTCGAGTGCAGGTCATCAGGTACATGAGGCAGCCAACAAGCTCTGGGTACGGGCCACTCGACTCTACGGACTCATCCGAAGGCAGAGCTGAGAGCGAGTGGCGAGTAGACAGAGGAGTGGCCTGAGGCGAGGAGTACGTGAAGCCGAAGCGCTGAAGGACCTGCTGCACCATGTGTGACTGAGTCAAGGTGATGGTGCGGCGTGCTCTGTCCCGAGTGATCTGCAAGCCAAGGTAGCTGCGCAGTTCACCCAGGTCTGTGCACGTGTGTCTCTTCAGCAGCTCGGACTTCACGTAGGCGAGTCTAGCAGTGTCCGCTGTGGCAAAGACCAAGTCGTCGACGTACACGAGGATGTAGAACTGCGGCAGTGAAGTGTCGGTGCGCAGAAACAGCGACGGGTCAGCAGTAGACGGAGCAAACCCAAGAGCCGCAAGCGTAGTCCTCAGTGTGTTGTGCCACTCACGCGGTGCCTGGCGGAGACCGTAGACTGGCCGTCGGAGGCTCCACTGGGTGCCAGGAGGGAAAGTCCCAGTGAAGCCAGGTGGACGGCGCAGCCAGATCTCCTCGTGCAGACTACCCTGCAGGAACGCAGTGCTGAAGTCGAGAGAGTGAAGCTCGTAGTCGCGCTGAGTGGCTATGTGCAGCAGCACCCGAAGAGTGGTCATCTTCGGGGTGGGAGAGAAGGTCTGAAAGTAGTCAACTCCCTGTCCCTGACTGAAGCCACGAGCAACGTACCGCGCCTTGAAGACAGGTGGAGAGCCCGGCGGCCGCTTCACCCGGAAGATCCACATGCCACTGACGATGTTCGCCCCAGGAGGGGGAACTGCGTCAACGTAGGTGCCTGTGGACTTCCAGGAAGCCATCTCTGCATCCATAGCTGCCTGCCACTGAGAGGAGTAGGGACCCTCTACGGCCTCCGCGTAAGAGCGCGCAGTCGGGATGTCTAGTGCATCCGGGTCTCCCTCAGGAGCAAGCAGTACAGACGCGAGATGAGGTGAAGCAGCAGCCAGACACTGTAACTCCTCCTGCCTGTCCTCTAGGACGTCCGTGCCAAGAGCACACTCACCCCCGACGGACGGAGGACAGACAGACGCAGACTCAGCAACAAGACTAGCAGCGTAGTCTAGACGACAGCGAGCAGCAAAGTCGACGAGCTCAGCGACAAGAGCAGACGCAGCAGTGGACTCAAAAGAGGGGTCAGCGACGACAGTAGCAAGCAGACGCGTGACAGTAGGACTGGCAACACGAAGAGAGTCCGACTCAGGGTCGGCAAGCGCAGGAAGAGAGGACTCAGGAGGAGAAGGCAAAGGGGCACGCAGAGGAGCAGTGGACGGACGCAGAGACATCCGGTGCGTGCCAGGGACAGGAGGAGGACGCTGACGCGAACCGCGACCACTAGCTCGAGCAGCACGAACAGGCGACGCGGGACGAGACGAAGGCTCACGACGCTCAGCAAGACCTCCAGTAGGACCAGTGTACGGAGAGGGAGCAGGCAGAGGAGAGGAAGGCTCCAACAGCGACTGCAACTGGACAGGCTGTGGACACTCTACCGAAGGAGAAAGACCAAGAACCTGCTGTAGGAGCGGAACGAAGTACGGCCGAGGCCGCGCGGCAGCTCCAGATTCAGCAGGGACAGCACCAGCACCCTCAGTGACAGCACCAGCGCCACCAACACCTCCAGCGGCAGGACCTCCAGCAGCACCAGCAGCAGAACCACCGCCAGGACAGACAGCAGCAGTCTCAGCACCAACACCCTCAGCAGCTCCAGCTCCAGTAGGACCCGCAGGCCCAGCAGCTCCGGGACCGGCAGCACCAGCGCCCTCGACGGTCGACGAAGCTCCAGCTCCAGCAGCACTCCTCCAGCGGGGAGCAAACCACTCGCGCAGCTCCTGTGGAGAGAGGGGCTCCCGACGAGACGCAGCAGCAGGAGAAACCCCAGGCTCAGCAGCCCCAGACTCAGCACCCCCAGGCACAGCAGCTCCAGACGTAGCACCCCCAGGCTCAGCAGCTCCAGACTCAGCACCTCCAGGCTCAGCAGCTCCAGACTCAGCACCCTTAGACTAAGTAGCTCTAGCTCCAGTAGGACCCGCAGGCCCAGCAGCTCCGGGACCGACAGCACCAGCACCCTCAGCAGGCGAAGAAGCTCCAGCTCCGGCAGCACGCCTCCAGCGGCGAGCAAACCACTCGCGCAGCTCCTGTGGAGAGAGCAGCTCCCGCCGAGACTGAAGAACCGGAGAGCCCCCAAGTCGAGCAGGCGCAGGCTCCGCACCTCCAGGCCCAGCACCCCCAGGCTCAGCAGCTCCTGACGTAGCACCCTCCGGCTCAGCACCCCCAGACTCAGCACCCCCAACAGCAGCACCCCTAGGCTCAGCACCCGCAGCAGGACCAGACTCAGCAGCAACCTCGACTGGCCCGATCGTGTCTACCTGGGAAGAACCTGAAGGGGCAGGAACCTGAGGGGGGAGGGGGTCTACCGGGGGGGGAACTGGTACCAGGAAGTCCGGTGGGGGGGGGAGGGAAGGAGTACCGTAGGGGAAGAGGCGGTAGAAGGGGACTGACTCGTCGAACGTGACGTCCTGGGAGGACAGAACACGACGAGAGGAGGGGTGGTAGAACTGCCACCCTGGAGCGTCAGGGGGGAAGCCAAGGAAGACACAGGGAGCAGCACGGGGGGACAGCTTGTCCCCAGACAAGTCGCGGACAAACGCCCGAGATCCCCAGACACGGAACGCAGACGCATCGCCGACCTTCCCCGTCCACAGTAACACTGGGGACATATCGGGCCGAGAGACCCTGGGGTGAAGGTTGAGCTGATGCGCCGCGTACCGAACCGCAAACGGCCACAGAAAATGGGGGGCAGCCGCATGCATCATGGACGTACGAGCGACATCCATGACCATGCCAATGCGGCGCTCAGCAATCCCATTTTGCTGTGGAGAGTCCGGAAGCGTAAAGGTCTGGCGGATCCCCTGTGCACGACAGTAGTCTCGCAGAAGGCCAGAGGAGAACTCCCCACCTCGGTCAGAGTGCAGACGCAGAACAGGAAAGTCCGAGCCGAAGCTCCTCCTGAGCTGGAGACGAGCCTCGCGGATCCAGTCGATCAGCACCTCAGTGACAGCACCCTTGCTGCGCAAGGGGAAGACTGTGGTGTAACGCGAGTAGTCGTCAACCACCAACAGGAAGTAGCGCTCGTGACCCTGCCCACGGACGGGGGCCGGGCCCCACACGTCCATGTGAAGTGTCTGCAGAGGAGCCTCTGTCGGGGGAAACTGGGAGGAATGAGGAGCAGCCCTGAGGCGCCCCTCGACACAGGGGACACAGGAAGGTCCTGGTCCCGAAGGAAGGGGAGGGAGAGACTGGGGAAGACCAGAGACAAGGACACGGGAAGCCATGCCCCGAAGACGGGGCAAGGAGGGGTGGCCAAGACGGTGGTGCCACAGGAGAGTCTCGTGAGACAAGAGGCGACACGAGCAGGGGGCAGACTCAGGACCAGACCTGGACGCAGCAGCAAACACCTGACCTGACGCTGCTACCTGACCGGACGCAGGGACAGGAGGAGACTCAGTGGTCAGGGTGTAGAGGCTCGACCCCGGCCGACGCGAGAACGTGGCCAGGTGCCGGCCTGTGCGTGCGTCCGTGCAGTGGGTCACCCGCTGACTCGCAGGAGTGAACTGGTGAACCCCCGCATCCTGCAGGTCTGCACCACTCACCAAGTTCGTCGAGAACGAGGGGAGGTACAGGCCAGACAGGGTGCCCGAGGGGGCTGCCGGACACGGGAGGACAGTGGAAAAGTGAGCGAGGACAGGACCCCCAGAGGGGTCAGCCAGGGAGACTGCAACCGGCCGACCAAGCGGCGTGAGTGTGGTGCGGTCCCGAAAGAAGGAGCGAGAAGCCCCAGAGTCAAGTCTAAAGGTGAGGGAGGCCGAAGCCAACGCGGTACCTGAGAGCGCAGCCTCACCCGCACCTGAGGAAGCAGACTCACTAGCACCTAGAGCAGCAGCCGCACCTGTACCTGGAGCAGGAGACTCACTAGCACCCAGAGCAGCAGCCTCACCAGTAGCCAGAGCAGCAGGTCCTATACCTGGGTCAGGCGGGACGCACAGGTGACCAGCACGGTCAGCACTAGTAGGCAATGCATACATGGCAGTGAGAATAGCATCATAGTCAAGAGCATATATATCGACCCTCTGCCTAAGCAACTCCACCCAGTCGGGAAGCTCAGCCTCGTCGCCAAACACGGTACGCCAGGCGTCGCTCAGACGAGCGAAGCAGCGGGACTGTGTATGACTACGTGTCCCACAAGGCTGACCAGTCCGAGTACCAGTGCGAATCACGTAAGAGCAGCGAACAGCACTGAGAGACCCCCCACTCTCAGCGTACCACTCACGAAGCTGGCGAGGCGTGAGAGACACGCGAGAGGGTCGCGGGAGCTGCATCTGGCCGCCACCACGAGTAGAAGCAGCAGGAGTGGTAGTAGGAGTAGCGCCGCCACCCCTACAGCCCCAACCAGCGTACCACTCACGCAGCTGCTGGGGCGTGAGGGACTCACGCAGGCGTCGCTGGGGCTGCATCTGGCTCCGCAAGTAGAAGCAGGAGCAGGACTAGCAGCAGGAAGGCAGGCAGCCAGGCAAGCCAAAAGGCAGGCAGGCAGGCAAGCAGGCGACGCGCAGCGTGCTAGCAGGGCAAGAGCTCACCAGTGGTGGGAAGAGTAGGCTCGGCGACTCAGCGGCTCGGCAGCTCGGCGGCTCGGCGGCTCGGGCGACTCGGGCGGCTCGGCGGCAAGGCGGCTCGACAGCAACTGCAACTCAGCAGCTCGGTGACTCGGCGGCTCGGCGGCAGGGCGGCTCGGCAGCAACTGCAGCTCAGCAGCTCAGCGACCCGGCGGCTCGGCGGCAGGGCGGCTCGGCTGCTGGGCGGCTCGGGTGCAGGGCGGCTCGGCGGTGGGGCGGCTCGGCTGCTGCAGGTGAGCGGCTCGGCTGCTGCAGTGGGAGATGAAGGAGGAGGAGAAGCAGGGGAGGCCGCAAGCGGCCCCCTCAGGTCGCCTCGACAGGCGACGGGAAAAGGGGGGGGGGGGTGGTGGGGGCCGGTAGGTGCAGCGGCGGGGCCAGCAGGTGCAGTTGCGGGGCCGGTAGAAGGGGACGGCAGGAGCCGTCAGGAGGGGACGGCGGGGCCGTCAGGAAGGGACGGCGGGGCCGTCACGAAGGGACGGCGGGGCCGTCAGGAGGCGACCGGGCCGCGACTGGGGCAGGCGGCGGGGCTGCGTAAGGGCCTCGGCGGGGCCGCGACAGAGCCGTCGGCGGGGCCGCGTGAAAGCCGGGGCGGGGCCGCGTAGAAGCCGAGGCGGGGCCGCGCGAGAGCAGGCGGCAGGGCCGCGAAGGAGCCGGGGCGGGGCCGCGTGAGAGCAGGCGGCGGGGCCGCGTAAGGGCCCGGGCGGGGCCGCGACAAAGCCGTCGGCGGGGCCGCGTGTGAGCAGGCGGCGGGGCCGCGAAGGAGCCGGGGCGGGGCCGCGTGAGAGCAGGCGGCGGGGCCGCGTAAAGGCCGGGGCGGGGCCGCGACAGAGCCGGCGGCGGGGCCGCGTGAAAGCCGGCGACGGGGCCGCGTAAGGGCCGGCGGCGGGGCCGCGTCAGTGAAGGCGGCGGGGCCGCAGGGGAAATGGCGACCCGAGGGGTCGCAAAAAAAAAATCGCGCCTCAGGGGGCGCTTCGGTGGGCCCAAAAAAAACGGTCCTTAGAAGGACCCGCTCTATACCATGTGACAATAAGCAAACAGGAATGAAATGACTAAGTCAGGGTTGGGTACAAATACAACCCTAGAAAGCTGTACCCCATATGTGCTACCCCACTATAGCCTACAAACATGCATCAGCTATAGTAATCTGACAGGGGCGACCAATTCGACGCCGATTTCTGGTAAGTACCAGTTCCGCGCTTTTCGAATTAACCCCCTCGCGTGGTTTTTGAACAGGATGGGTTCGCCGGCGACCAACGACGTTACGCAGCAGCTCTTCGCGCAAATCGCCAAGATGGAAGCGGAGATGCGAGCGACGACTGAACGGTCGCGATTGGAGAACGAGCAGCTGCGAAACATATTGCAGCGCATTACGCGGCTCCTCTCAACCATGAACATTCCTGCTTCGACGACTTCGCAGCAGTCGCAGCGTCAGTTCGAGGTTCCGAAACTTCGCTCGCCGGAATCGTTCGACCCTAGCGATCGAAAATCCGACGTCAGGCGGTGGCTCGCGACGATGGAAATTTATTTCGCGGCGATCGGATGGACGACGACGGAGTACGACGGCGAGAAAATTCGTCTCGCGACAACGTTGATGCGCGGTCCAGCTCTCGAGTGGCTCGGAAGCAACAGTAGCATTTTCCAGGGCGAAGCCACGTGGCAGCAGTTCCGGGCAGACCTTCTCAAACGTTTTGAGCCGATTAATTCCACTTATATTGCGCGCGAAAAATTACATCACCATAGGCAATTCGGGAGTGTCGCGCAATACACACAGCAGATGGAGGAATTTTATAATCGCATTCCCGACATTACCGAGGGCGAAAAAAATCAGTCCTACATTGCGGGGCTGAAAACCGACATTCGGCGCCAGGTTGCAGCAGCGAATTGCAGCAGCTACAGCGAAATCGTATCGGCCGCGGAGCGTTTTGACTTGGTCAACTCCGGGACACGACGACCCCACGTCGTCGGATCACGACAATGGGATCGCTCGGCTTCAACCACGTTCGCCGACCCCATGGAAGTCAACAAATTCGACGCGAGTTCACGTCCTGCAAAAAACAAAACACTTTGCGAATTTTGCGGCGGAAACGGACATCGGATTGTCGACTGTTTTCACATGAAATCTGCATGTGCGGCATTCCGAGCTCGTGGGAGTGGCGAAACTAAAAACAAAAAGTCAAAAAACGGATCTCGCCAGTGATTGCGGATCGTGCTGGCGAGAAAAAACAGATCCGAAAGCGTCAGCGCAATCTGGACCGAATCGAAATTGAAGGACAGCATTGGGCGCTAGATTTGGAGAATCAAGGGCGAAATCCCAAGCCCCTTGACCGATATTTGTCAGAGGAATTCGCCGAGGAAAAGAAAACCTCCGCGAAAACAGACTCGACCAAGACGGGAACTCTCCAATTCGACCACGGGAAAAAACAGAATTCGTTAAAGTTATCTTTCAAAGATGCTTTAATGAAGACTGGCGTTTTTCGCGGGTCCGGAGCCATAAACAAATTCCGGGAAGAACTCCAGAGGAAGCAGACAATTAAAGAAGTGGTACCGGTGCCTACGGAGCTGGGGAAAAAATTAAGGAGTGTGGAAAGGAGTAGACCTTTTCACGGCGTCAACGTCCTCTCCCGAACCAGCCCAAGACGACTCTCCACTCCCCAGGGAAGAAGTCTATGGAGCTGAAGCAGCTGAAGAGGCAGCTGGGAGTTCAAAAGAAGCTGCAGAAACTCCGAAAACCCCTCAAGGATGCATCCAGTGGATCGCAGGCGTCGACCGGATCCACCCCCTCAGGGTCAACTTGTACGGTTACTACCTCTACTCCTGGCATTGGAGAAGAGCCTTTCTCCACGCAGCCCAGGCCAGCTAGTTGTCCAGAAGAAAGCAGTGGAACCACGGTGTGTACTGAATATTGGGATGTACCCTATGATCCTATTAATGAGACTATTTTTGGGTACTCTGAGCAACGCTCACCACTCCTGCTCGAGGTGATCTGCAACGGACAGCGCCTCCAAGCACTCGTGGACAGCGGGGCGTCGCACAGCGTCTATGACAAAAAGGCAATCGATCGACTCGGAGGTGACATCAAGTCCTCAAGCTTCTCTGCAACGATGGTGGATGGCAGTAAGCTACCTATCTACGGGGAAACACGGTTGCTACTCCAGATTGGACCCCTTCGATGGAAGCCTGCTCTCCCCGTCACAAATATCAAAGGACTCGACGTAATCTTTGGGAGAGACTTTCTTAAAAAGTTCAACCCCGAGATCAACTGGGTTAACCAGACGGCCAACATCAACAACAACGGGAGGAAAATCAGCCTTCCCAAATGGGACGACACGGGAAATATTCCAGTCGAGACACTCGCACGCTTTGAAAAGGACGTCAAACGGACCACGGCGGGATTCATGGCGAAGCATAAGCTATAATGCTCTGACACACCCCCATAGGCAAAGTAGGGGAGTACAAGGGGTCACAAGACAAGTCAAGCAAAGCAAAGCAAAGCAAGCTCAGGGTGGATCACAAAGTCACCACACATTCCGAGCACAAGGTCAAGGCCACAAGGCCAGTTCACATGCAGGAGTACATATATATATAAAAGGCTAGACAAGCAAGAGCACGTGTATATATATATATGTAACAGTATAAGCAAGGTCAAGAGGTGAGCAAGTGAGGCAAGGCAGGCACAAGACCCAGCTGAGTACAGAAGCGCTGATGATCACAAGGCGCAAGCACCTTGGTGAAGATATCAGCAGTGTTGGCCTCAGAGGCCACGTACGCAAGACGCAGCTGACCACGCTGCTGCAGCTCACGAGCAAGGAAGTAGCGGAGAGCAATGTGCTTCGTTCTGTGCTCCAGTCTCTGCTCTCGACACAAGGCCAGCATGGCCTTGTTGTCTACGTACAGCACTGGAGGAGAACGAGGCGGCTCTCCGAGGTCAGTCAGCAGGTAGGTGAGCCAGCGAAGCTCCTGTGCAGCCATGGCCCCGGCGTAGATCTCAGCCTCACAAGTGGAGCCGAGAACAGAAGACGAGCGGGTAGCCCGCCACGAAACAGAGCCGGAACCAAGGCTGAAGGTGTAACCCTGTGACGACCGCTGCGTAGCCTGGTCGTCAGCCCAAGAAGCGTCTGCGTGCCCAGTGAGGACCACCGGACTCTGCCCTCCAAGCACAAGCCCCATGCCTGACGTACTGCACAAGTAGCGCAACACCCTCTTCGCTGCAGCCATGTGCTCCGGTCTGTGTCTCCCAGGAGCAACATAGCGTGCGAGAATGCTAAGAGGGTATGCAAGGTCAGGTCGAGTGCAGGTCATCAGGTACATGAGGCAGCCAACAAGCTCTGGGTACGGGCCACTCGACTCTACGGACTCATCCGAAGGCAGAGCTGAGAGCGAGTGGCGAGTAGGCAGAGGAGTGGCCTGAGGCG